ACTCATGGAGAAAATTTGGGCTATTTGAAAAGGGGTGTGAGGCCTACAAACGTACCGACCTTTAGCTATCTTTGAATGAATTTTTTTATTCTTCTGTAGGTGTGTTTGGGAGTGAAATCCTCCTAAATGGTTGTACGGATTTTAACAAAACTTTTTGTGTATTTGAGTGGGTCTCTGGATGGTTTAGTTTCATAATTTAATCCGACAGTTGGCGCTGTAGTTGAGTTATTACTAAAAATCTTATTTATGATCCGATTTGGCTAATGTTTTAAATATGTATGCAATACTATTGCAAAAACGTGCTGCCAAGTGGTGCTGAAGTCGAGCTATTACTAAAAATAGCCAAGTGAGAAGAGTCAGATTAAATCGACCTGTTGCACCATTGAGTATATCGAACGCTCCTGCAATTGGCCCAATGGATGTGATTTTCCAATATTATTATGCGTTCAAACTTTTAACGTATTTCGTCCAAAATAAGTATATGTACATTGCATTTCTGTAGAACAATGATTCGCACCCATTTTGAAATTGCCACCTACTATACTGTAAAGCTTCTACATTCACTATAGAACCGGGTCATTGTTGCCGCCAGGGAGTGAAGAGGAAAAAATTTATTTCGCTTTGCGAATAACCGTGCTATGAAATGCCGCACAACTGGAGAATTTCAAGAACGGATATAACACTTTCCTAAGGTTATTTAAAGCGGCAAATGACCACCAAACCTTAATCTTAGCAGACAAATGTGCGAATGAAAATCGTAAACGTGAATTGTTGGTGAAAATGTTGGACCAAAAAGTTTCAATAAAATATATAAAAATTTTGGGCGGGACGAAATTCGCCGGGTCTGCTAGTAGAGAAATAATTGCCACTTTTCACTTGGCTGGCCGAGATTTCTTCATTTTAAGATTTTAGAATTTTTGTGTCGGATTGACAAAGTTGCGCTTGATGGTGATGAATTTGCGGGGAGATGTACTGCGGTTGTTTTTATGAATGAATTTACTTGGCCTTGAGAAATATGCGCATGCGTTTATGAATGAAATAGTTATTGTTGTATTTGAATTTGCGCGTAATTATGTATGTGTGTATGTATGCTGCCGTGAGTTGTACATATGTACATTTGTATATATGTGCGTGGTACTTAGACAGCAATATGCACGTACGTATGGATGTACTTATATATGCATGCAAAAACGTTGTCAATTAATGGAGCATGTAGTACATATAGATACATGTATGTATGCGTGGGAAATGCATTTTCGTTTGACTCCAAAACTATTGGGGCATTTTCGTAGTGAATAGTTGATCGCTTGGTCCCTTCGCACTCACCTTGATCACATACACACTTTCCGTTGGAAGGAAAAACTTTGGGTTCGATTTTGAATGTTTACAAAAGTATCCGCAGTTTATTTATAAGCCGTACAATTCGGCGCAATTTGTTATTAGGCTTTCACACGATATAAAGGTTGAGTTTAGAGGTATATATGTATATGTATATACACAAGAGTTTGCTTATTTGACAAGATACAAGATTTGCACGATATGAACTGTAGAAAGGGCGCGTGCGCGTTGTCCGACTTGAGTAGCTGAACTAACCTTGGCATAATTTGGCACGATGATGGTAGGCGGCCGTGCGCGCTCGGTAATTATTTTCGGAGTTGACGTAGGTCAACTGCCAAACTGCTGCGGCCAAGGATTGCGCGCACGGCCGTCGGATTGCACTTTAAGCGGCGGCTTAAACATCCTCCCCGCCCTGCAGGAATGCGCTGCTTAGGGTCTCCTGCAGTTCTTTCAGCGCGCGGATCGCGTTGCCCAGGGCGCGGTTAGTGGTGCGGCCCTGGTAACTGGCCGTTTGCAGGCCTTGGGGGGTGCGAGCGATCGTCCTTTGGGCGGTCTTTTTGCGCGGTGGTTGCGGCGCCTGCCTTCCGCGGTTGTGCGTATTCTTCTGCGCCTTCCTCTTCGGCGGTGCGCGCCGCTTTACGCTCGTTGGGGCCTTTGTGGCCGCTGCGGGCCGGTTGGCCTTCTGCTTCCGTTGGCCAGTGCGCGCGGGCCTGTTAGCTGCCACATGCAGCAGCGTATGGTGCGCTAAGCCGCAAACCTTGCAGCTGCCTGGAGAATCGCACTCGCCGGTTGTGTGGGTGAGCGCAAGGCAGTTGACACAATACCCTTGCGCCCGGGATACTGCCAATCGCTGCGGTGGCTTCATGGCCTTAAAGGCCGGGCACGTCCTGAGCGCGTGGTACTTGTGGCAGAGCCGACATTGGAGGCAGTTCTCCGTCTCTGCCGTTGGAGCCAGGGGGCATGCCTTCCGCGATGCCATGGTGTCTTCAATCTGGAAGTAGAAGCAAAGGCAGAGAAACGAGGAGTACTTGGGTACAATATTTAAACGGGAAGTTAAGACCCTTAATATACAAAAGGAAAAGATGTATAGAATTATTTATTGTGCTTTTGGAAGGAAGCACAGTTTGACAAGTGGCCGCGTGATAACTCCATTTTGTGTACGGACTTCCACAACACGTATGTGGTTATCAGGGCCATGGCGAACGTTTTCGATTCGTCCCAATCGCCACTCGGTGGGGGGGAGCGAATCTTCTTTGATCACAACGATGTCGCCTGGCTGAGGGTCGCGTTGTGGAGTTTTCCACTTGTACCTCTTCTGAAGATCTTTGAGGTAATCTTCTTTCCAGCGGCGACTAAATTGGTGGTGAAGTGCTTTGACTTTCTCCCACCGGTTTAGTAGAGAGAGGTCTTCCGCATTAGGCTCGGGAATGGCCAATAGCGGTGCACCTCGAAGGAAGTGACCCGGAGTAAGTGCTGTCATATCAGCTGGGTCTTGAGAAAGTGCAGATAGAGGCCTCGAGTTGAGGACTGCTTCAATTCGCACCAGAAGCGTCGTGAATTCTTCGAAAGTGAACTTGTGGGTTGCAGCGGTTTTCTTTAAATGGATTTTAAAGCTTTTCACTGCAGATTCCCACAAGCCGCCCATGTGGGGGGCGCTGGGTGGTATATATTGCCAGTTGATGCCTTGAGGGGCATATTTTTTGACAATGTCTGCGGAACATTCGTTAAGGAATTTAACGAAGTCGCGTTCTGTTGCGCGCTGGGCGCCAATGAACGTTTTTTCCATTGTCGCTCATCATTTTTGAGGGAAAACTTCGTCTGCCAACGAAGCGGGCGAATGCTGCTCGAAAAGCCTCGGTTGTAAGATCCGAGCATAGCTCGAGATGCACTGCCTTTGTGGAAAAACAGACAAAAACTGCAACGTATCCCTTGATAAGGGTTGTAGATCTTAGCACCGATGCTTTAATTTGGAATGGCCCAGCAAAATCTACTCCCGTTGTGGAAAATGGGAGTGAGAAACTGCAGCGCTCAGGGGGTAGAGCGGCCATTATTTGGGTGCGTGTTTGTTGCTTGTAAAGCGTGCACACTTTGCATTGAAAGATGCATTTTTTAATTAGAGGTTTCAGCTTTGGTACGTAGTACTCTTGCCTTACCATTTGGAGCATTAATCGTGTTTCTGCGTGAAGAAGCAGCGAGTGTAAAAACTCCAAATATAGCTGGCAGAACCTCGATTCGGTAGGGAGAATTATTGGGTGCCTTTCATTATAGCTTAATGTGGAATGTAAAAGTCCGTCTTTGTCCAACGAAGGATTGAGAACAATAAGAGGACTTTTTTTGTTAAGTGGCTTTTTATCTTGCAAAGCGCTTTTTTCGCTCGGAAAATGGCGTGATTGCGCTGCGTTGATAAGACGAATTTTTGCATATTGAAATTCGTTATGTGTCAGATGCGGATAGGTGATTGTAGCTAACCCCTTTGATTTGTTGCGGGCATTGCTCACGAAGTGGAACATGTACGCAGTCACGCGGAGTGCTCGAGAGAAAGAAGAAAAGCGATCAAGAAAATCGACCTCTTCTTCGAGCGCGTGATATACCTCCACCTTGCGTTTTTCTGGTGGAGATGCACTGCATGCCTTTGACCTTGGCCATGCATCCATGTGGCAAGAGAGCCATTTTGGTCCGTGCCACCAGAGTGGGGAATTCGCCAAATCCTGCGGTTTGCACCCACGGGTGCCGAGGTCGGCTGGATTATCTTGGCTGGAAATATGGCGCCATGCACCGGTTGGAAGATACTCCCGGATTTGAGAGGTACGATTGGATACATACGTCTTCCATGTACATGGTGGCTTTTCAAGCCAAGCTAGCACATTCTCTGAATCTGACCATAAGAATGTGTTGCACGATTCTAATTTGAGCTGTTTTCCAACAGTTGCGACCAGTTTTGCGAGTAAGACTGCACCACAAAGCTCTAGGCGTGGCAAGCTTACCGTCTTCAATGGTGCGACTTTTCTTTTTGCAACCAAGAGAGTGGAATATCTTTGGTTGCTAGCATCTGCGCGGATGTAAATCGCAGCGCAATATGCTTTTTCCGAGGCATCGCAAAACCCGTGGATGTGGGTATCTTGCCCCGGAGTGAAATTAACCCATCGAGGGATTTCGATGTGGCAGATAGCTGGCAGATTTTCTGCGAACTGTTGCCATTTTGCTAAAGATATAGGTTTGGCACATTCGTCCCAATCAACGCCATCTAGCCAAAGTTCTTGAAGAAGAATCTTTGCTTGAATCATCACTGGCGATAGCCATCCTGCCGGATCAAAAAGTTTTGCGACCGAAGATAAAATTTGTCGCTTTGTGACGGCATTCGATGTCGATGCAGGCAGAATGGTGTATGAAAATTTATCTGTGAGTGCGTTCCATTGTATACCAAGAGTTTTGGTTGTGGAAGCGCTCTCAAATTTCAAAAAGTTGGAGTCGAGAAGATCTTCTTTTGGAAATTTTTCTAAAATGGCCGGATGATTGGCCGTTAGTTTCTTGAGTATGAAACCAGCTGACTTAAGCGCTTT